CACAACACTTACGACAATAGCACCTGATTTTAACATATTATGTAAAAAAATTTTCAAACACATCCCAGTCTTTGATGATATTTACTATTTTTTTAATTACTCCATAAATACTCCATAATACTCCATACTCCATAATACTCCATAAATATTTACTTTAACTTTAAAGTCTTACTTTAATTTTTACTTATTGGAATATTTATTTTGTTAGTCGTAGTACATATTTATAAATAAGTATATTAAATAATCAGTAAAAAATGTGTTCGAAAATTTTTGTTAGGTGTAGGGGTTCCTCAAAAAAATCGAACAATTGGCGGGGTTCCGCACGTCGAAAAAGTTTGAAGACTGCTGTTATAGCTTAATGTTTTGTACAGTATCCAAACTTTCTGTCAAATATGATAAATATAAAACATCAAAACAATAGACAAAAATAATTTTAAATATTTGAAATATAATACCCCATTGTCAGTAAGTATAGTGCAGTTTTTTAAAAGCTAATTATAACATGACTATTTACTAGGGCTTGCAATTCCGGTATCCTGGGATCCCAAAATACTGAGATCCCACATCAATTTTTAAATATGCGGATCCCGTTGTGGATTGCGGGATTCCGGGATTGTGCATAGCTGCTTCTCACCGTCCATTTGGCGTCGTTGATTTCACACGTGGCCCTACCACGAGGCACAAAACAACTTTGTTTTCTTCGTTAGTGGTGGTAGTCTGTCACAGAATAATTAACGTAATGTTCTAGACTTCTAGAGGAAAGTATCTAGAACTAGCCTATATTCGTCTAAAATCTGTAACCCCAATAAGTGTCGAAGCCGAGAGCTTTTTCTGCTGCCGGTTATCTAGTAAACGGCATATGGAGCTCCTTATCAGACCACAGCGTAAACATATTGTTTTCTTCAGAAATATTTTCAGCAAAACCAATAAATAAAAATAAGAATTTTTTCAATTGATATTAATTTCGTTATTCTATATTAAATACATATCATTTTGTTTATGTTGTACATTTACCTGTCAATAATTAATATTCAAAAATACTCTCCTCTTTTTCAAATGTGTGATAAATATTATCTGTTTCAAAATCAGTTTGTTATTTTTAATTGTAACAGCCATAATTAAAAAAGTTACATTTACAAATTAAATTATATTTGTTTTTTCATTTATACAGGGTGGTCCGAATTTTATGCAGGAAACTTTGAGGGTAGATAGATCTCTTTAAAATAATATGTGTTTGCCTTATAAACATAGGTCTGGAACGGCCCCGTTTTAGAGATAGGGTGTTGAGGTTTTAAAAAAAAGATGTTTTGTTTATATCGCACACTACCTCACAGGTGGTGTAGAAAGGAGTGTAAATAATTTTGTTGATGTGCTTACAAATTGCATTTACTTTTAAACAAAAACAAATATTCTTGTAATATTATCGTTAGAAGTGTCACAAGGGGATTGTATTGGTATGAATAATTTGAGAACGGCGAATCTTAGGGAAAAAATTGTGCATTAAAATATAAATCAGTTACAATGACATGTAAAAAATGCAGTGGCGTAGGTTTTTTTGTAAAAAAGAGGGTGACCCCTGTCCAGTTGTACACCACTGGTTGAACCTTTAAAGCTCATATTTCAGGGAATATAAGGCCTACTATCATACATTACAGTGGCGGCGTGTTAACATTGATTGAATGTGTTCTGCTTAGGGTTGTTACATTTGTTGAATTGAATTCCGGGATATTAAGTGCCCGGAGTTTCTAAATTTAAAAATTTTCAAGGTCATGCGTTTTTCCTGGCACTTCTGAATTTCAAGGAACAATGCATTTATAAAAAAATACAGATTTTGACAAGAACGATTTTTTAAATTGATACCTTTTTGAAATATCTATTCACGAATTACCTACTGACGATATAAATAAATTGGAATAAACTAAATATATTTTATTAAATTATTGAATATTGTTTATTAAAAAAAATCGTTTGTGAAATTTACCGACGATTCAACGAATTTTAATTTTCCTCGCCGTGTTATGATTTTTTCTTTATCTTCTTTTATATATATGTACATTATATTATATTCTGGGAGTTATACGTGCAAATCCGAAATCTGGGACCATACAGCTCATTCCCGGTACAATCACAGAAAATCCCGGTCACACCCATGTGGCCAGATGTTCTTTTAATATGTCGTCAAGATCTGCACTAAAATTTATGAGTCCACGAAACACATCAGGGTTGTCCGAATTTTCTGTCTCGTCGTGTCCGTGAAGTGCTAATTCGAAAGCTCCGCAAAATTTTATGCAATCTATGATTTTAGATAATACATAACGATTTTTCGTTACCTGTTCATTGTGTTTCCGTATATTATCCCAATATGCAGAATCTAACTGACTTCTTACGTTTATTTTACCTAAAGACTTAAATGACTTAAATCTTTCACACTGTATATTTGCCCATGCTTTATCCCCACCGAAAAGTAAGCACGGAAAATAAAACTGTATTTTTTAAATCACACCCGCACACCCACTCTGCTTTTGTGTATACATTATTGTTAAATTTTCTTTTATAACTTTTCCTTCGGCTTGTTCCACTAACTTCAAAATTTAATTGTGGTGTTGGCCCACCTAATTCTTTGATTTTTAGTTTATCTCATAAGGCAGAGAACCAAATAAAGTTTTTTTTAAAATGAAACGCTATTCATTTTAATAACTATAATATCCGTAGACGCCTAAATGAAAATATTCACAAGTGCTGCTCGCAGAAATAAACCACCATATATCACATACAAAATTTTACTGCATTTACATTTTACTGCAGCAGTGGCTGTCACTGTTGCAGCCGCAAAAGCCCATACCTTCGTGTACTGGGTCACGTGCCTGATTAGCCAATAAAAACAAAGGACGCAGCTAATTGTTCGCTATGCACACATTTTGTATATGAGGTTGTATATATTAAGGAGCATAGCTCGTGTCGCAATAAATAATAATATAAGCTCCTAGATTTATTTTAGCGCAAGTACATTTGGATTCTTTAAATATTTTGTTGATATTTAATATGATTAAATACATAAAATTATATGTGTTCTGCAGCTCCGCAGCTCTTATGGTAAAACCGCCACTGATACATTATATGTACCAAATTTTATAGAGATCGGTTAATAGATTCCGGAGATATAAACAAAAAACCAATTTTTTTTGACAACTTCAACACCCTGTATCTCTAAAACAGTGCCGTTCCAGACCTATGTTTATAAGGCAAGCACATATTATTTTAAAGAGATCTATCTGCCCTCGAAGTTTCCTGCATAAAATTCAGACCACCCTGTTTTGTCTAATTGTTTAGGTATGTAATGTTTTGTATTGTTTACTTATCTCACATCATGTAGTGTATGATGTAGTTTTCTGTTTGTACCTACCCTGTAATTGGAATTTCTGTAGGGTAGTGTATTGTCTAAATAAATAAATAAATAAATAAATAATAAATAAATCTTAAGCTTAAATTATTTGTTTGGTAAGAACATTTTTTTGGTATATTGAAAATAAATTATAGAAGCTTAATTTTATACTTTTATTACATAAAAAATGTGGGTATTATAGTATAACAATATATCATATTATCGTGGTATCCCATTTATACCGAGATCCTGCGGGATTTTAATGTCAAGTGCCGCGAATACCGGGAATTTCAATTCATTGCGGAATTGCAAGCCCTACTATTTACCTATTTTATTAAACAAATAACTTCAGATTTGTATTCAGGGGACACATAATATTACCCCTAAAAACTGTAAATAGTACACGATGGTCAGTTTCGGTCTATACGGTTCCAGTTATTAAAGAATATTCTGGGTTGCCTAAGTGTGAGACATCACACTAAAACAGTCTATTATTACTGACACACCCGATATAAGTCATCTGAAATAAGTTAATAGTGATTATTGAAGAAAAAGACACATATACAGGGTGACATAGAAAAAAGTACATTGCATAGTGTCATACAATAGAAGACACTAAAACAAGAAAAAAAGTTCCTATGAACATGGGTCCGCAAGGCCTTCGGTTAAAGGATACGGGGTGTTGAATTTTAATTTTTTTTTATTTGCAAAAACAATGATAAATACTTCAACAATTAAATTTTAATGGTATGATGAAAAATATGATTAATTAAAACAAAACATTAAGTTTTTAGAAGATGTTCAAATTGTTGCCCTTGTACTTCAATACATTTTTCCATTCTTCTTCTTAATGATTGACGGCATCTTTGAAATATTCCTAGGTTATTATGAAATCTATCTGCCGATTCCATAATTCTTATCCATAATTGTTCTTCATTATGTATTTCTACAGCATAAACTTCATTTTTCATAAATCCCCAAAATGAAAAATCGAGGGGATTAAGGTCGGGACTANCATAAAGATATTCAAAAAAAAACCCCAAACAAAAGTAAAATTCAACACCCCGTATCTTTTAACCGAAGGCCTTGCAGACCCATGTTCATAGGAACTTTTTTTCTTATTTTAGTGTCCTCTATTGTGTGGCACTATGCAATGTACTTTTTTCTATGTCACCCTGTATACAAATTAAACAATTTACGAAAACATCTTTTATCCCTGCTAAGTTCAATTATGCTCGGGAATATTGAAAAATATGGCATCACTGTTTTACAAATTATTGGTTGTGACGTCACAAAATTACATATCTCCATGCTAAAAATTAACACTAAAATGACAAAATAAGTATTTGGTCATCCCCTCTCTATACTAACTTACCTTCAAATTTATATATGGGGCCTCATTAACCCTTTTACTATTGATAAGACTGAGTTTTGCTCCGATTCCTAATAATTATTTAATTTTAATAATATAATTTACTTAAATAGTTTACTTAGTTACTTAATTTTTGTCACTTCATAAATCTGATTTTTTTTAATCTGTCAAAGAAAATATTTTCGATTTCTCTGTGGGTAATTGTTATTCGTGTCAATGATCCCATTAATAAAGAGTTATATTTACCTTGAAACATAGCTAAGAATGTGAACCACATTTCCAATAAAGAATCATCCGACATAAACTTTAATGCTACTGGTCTATGTGAGAGAACATTATTCAAATCAGAAACAAGGGGCCAATAACAATGATCTTTCATTACAGGTTTGCCACAGTCGACGACATAATGAAAATTTTCGTTTTGATCTGAAAATAATAATCCTTGGTGGTTATTTCTTTGACAACTTGTAATTTTAAATTTCTTACCATGTAAGGTGTTCTTTATTAAAATTTTGCTCATCATATACTTTAAACTAACTACCATAACATGTAACAGATTTAAATGTTCCGTCATTCTTAAAGCTAAACTTTCGTTTGAAAATAACTGCACGCTTACATGCACCACTCTATTACTCAGTGTGTCGGGATCTACTGATCGTTCTAGCATCATCGAAATTCTACTGTAATGAAGAACAAAAGCTCTAGTCAATGCCTCTTTATAATCAGGATCTGGAAGCATGTTCAGCAAAAGACACACCACTTTCTGGGGAAATTCAAATTTCACTGTCCGAAACACCAGTTCCTCTAAGAAAGTTTTATGGACCAAATTTTCTTGCAATGAAGGACAGTCTTTGTAGTCTTCTATAGGTTTTGGATTAGGTAGAGAGTTCAAAGCTTCTTCATAAATTCTTTTAGAATCATTTTGATATTGTGCATATTCTGTAACTAAATTTTCTGGCACTTCATTTAATACCCTGTATTTCTGTAATCAAAAATTGTAATTATAATTATATTATATATAATATAATTTTATAAAATTTATAATTTATAATTATAAATAATAAAATAAATTATAAATAATAAATAAAATTTATATATTATAAGTACAGGGTGTTTCAGGATTAAGTCGACAAACTTTAATGAGATATTCCTCATAAAAAAATAAGAAAAAAATTAAGTATACATTTTTTTCCATACGTTTCATTTTTGAAATAAAGTTAAAGATTTTTTAAAAAATTCGAATTTTCTAAATAACTTCTAAATGAAGAAGGCTATTTAATCCAAATTTGGCATGACGCATCTTATAAGATACCATTTTTCCATAGAAGTAGAAGTCCCACAAGCAACCAGTGGAGGAGTTATGGGGACTCAGACTCATTAAATTATAAAAAAAAATTATATGGCCCTACTGAAAATAAAAAATGATGCTGTTTTTAGATAGAACAATTTGTTATTGACAAAAAGTGTACATTCACTTTTTTTCCTAACTCTTATAGTTTCATGGCAAAATTGATATTTCGAAAGGGTGTTCATCATTATCGATTACTGCTTGAGTTTTCTGTTAGATTACTTGTTAAGTAATGTTTCATAGCAAATTTAGTAGAATTAAATATCCATTTATATGGGATGATAGGGCACCTGGCGAATACCCGCTCAAAAAAGTAACGTCCCAAAGAACAGTACTTCATGGCGGCAGATGTAGAAATTTGCTTTTTAGTATCTTTTTCTTTTATATTATATTAAGATTTGACAACAATGCATAGTCTAATTCCCAATTGTGCATGTGCTGTGACTAAAGCACGGGTATGAAAAATTACTACTGCTTAAAAAAAATTAAGTTTTCACAATGGAATTTGAAAAAATAAACTATGGATGCGTGTTTTTAAAAGTCAAAGGTAGCCTCCGTATAAATATGACCCCCATTCACAGGTACATTGTGCATAAAAAAATGTGCATAAAAATGCATGGTTACTATAATTAAAACTAAACTAGTGGAAAAAATTAAAGGATAAAAAAAATCTAAATTTTCGGCGATTTTTCAAATGGCTGTTAGTCCAGGAGGTACTTGTTTCGGGTTGGGTAAAACGCATATGATCGGAGATTTTTGCTTTAATGGCTTCTAAATAACATCAGAAATGATAATATTTCTATGCAAATAAAAAAAAACCTGGGCTTAATTGTTATTGCAAAAAAGTATAAAAAATAGCAAAAAAATTCATTTTTTTCTTGGATTTCTCGTCGACAACTTAGCAACTATTCGTTTTAGACAAAAATTGAAGAGGAAAAAAAGTTTTGTAATTAAATTTTGATCAAGATAGAGTTAGTTGCAATTCGAAAAAATAATTATTGTTGTTGCAAAAATCGGAAAAATCATTTAAAAAATTGCAAAAAATGCTAGTTTATTTGTCAATTTTTTTCAGACACTTGAATAATACCTAGGATCTTCATACTTTTCCCAATTAAACTTCTTAGTGCATAGAATCATCACACCAAATTTCATCCAATTCGGTTCGATAGTTTTTACATAATAATTGTTTAATTTTTTTATTTTTTTTAAATTAAAAAATTTTCAAAATCAAATTTCTAAAAATCTAAAGCCTTTGAATACTTGAAAATTTCACCACAAAAAGAAGAGCTCTCAAGCTTTAAAATGCTTTTTGAAAAATTCAAATCGGACGATTAGGTGAGCCGTGGTGATTGTTTAAACATTTTCGCAATTTTCACGCTTATAAACAATTGCAATAATTTAATGTTTTTTCAAATTTTTTTTTATTTTAAAATATGGTTTGAAAGTACTCGGAAAGACGAGTATTTAAAAAAAAACCTGATGATCCGCCCATTATTTTCGGAGTTATAGCCCGTTAAAGTTAACCCTTATTTACAGCAAAACTATAAGGGCTGTTTTTTGAACCAATAGGTTTGTTATTCCGAGTACTTTCCAGATATAAATTTTCAAAATTTGCAATCACGGGCGTCCCATTTAAAATGTCACTCAAAGATATTCAAGACCGCGTGAAATCAATGAGGTATCAGTGGTGGGGGGAGCAAACACACAGCTACTCCGATCTGAATTCTCGAGTTCAAAATTGCGACACTCGGAAAAATTTCACTTATCTCAGCGTCTAATGGACCAATTTCGATGATTTTTTTTTTAAATCGATGTCTCGCAACTAAAAAATTCAATTATCATATTTTCAACTACATTTTATTATTAATTATTGGACTTTTGACATGCCGATAAACAGTTACTTTAAAAAATGATTAATTTATTATGTTTATTTATTTACTGTTAATTTTCACGACCAAAATTTTTGCATGTTGCACCATGTTGTTGGTATTAATTAAGTATCCAAAAGATTCTTATACTTTTTTTATAAATAAAAAATAAAATTTAGATAAATATTTTAAAAGTAAACGAAAAAATTAAAATTATAATTATTCACAATTTATGTGAGTAATAATTTTTGAAAGACTTTTAGAAATTTATCGTACAACTAAAAATTAATACCAATTTTCAGTTGCTTATTTAAATAATTATTGTTTAAACTATTTTATAATATTTAAACAAACTTACTAGTATTACCAAAAATTTGAAAAGAACATTAAATTATTGCAATTGTTTATAAGCGTGGAAATTGCGAAAATGTTTAAAATCACCACGGCTCTCCTAATCATCCGATTTGAATTTTTCAAAAAGCATTTTAAAGCTTGAGAGCTCTTCTTTTGTGGTGAAATTTTCAAGTATTCAAAGGCTTTAGATTTTTAGAAATTTGATTTTGAAAATTCTTTAATTTAAAAAAAATAAAAAAAATGAAACAATTATTATGTAAAAACTATCAAACCGAATTGGATGAAATTTGGTGTGATGATTCTATGCACTAAGAAGTTTAATTGGAAAAAGTATGAAGATCCTAGGTATTATTCAAGTGTCTGAAAAAAATTTACAAATAAACTAGCATTTTTTGCAATTTTTTAAATGATTTTTCCGATTCTTGCAACAACAATAATTATTTTTTCGAATTGCAACTAACTCTATCTTGATCAAAATTTAATTACAAAATTTTTTTTTCTCTTCAATTTTTGTCTAAAACGAATAGTTGCTAAGTTGTCGACGAGAAATCCAAGAAAAAAATGAATTTTTTTGCTATTTTTTATACTTTTTTGCAATAACAATTAAGCCCAGGTTTTTTTTTATTTGCATAGAAATATCATTTCTGATGTTATTTAGAACCCGTTAAAGCAAAAATCTCCGATCACATGCGTTTTACCCAAGTACACCCTTTGTAAGACAGATACCGCTTGGACTATGTATCTTTGATAAAAATGATCATGTTGGAGTAAAAAAAAAGCAATTTGAAGCTTGAAGTTTCTAATTTTTGAATCTTGCAAAAAAAATGTTTTTCAAGTAACACGTATCGCGCAATCTTAATGAATATCATGAAAAAAAATTTTTAGAATTTTTTTTCAATCTTATTTTTGGTGTACGGACTTGAAAAAAAATTTTCCAACTTAACCACCTTATGGATTAGATAGGTTGTTCATTTAGCTTCAATTTCTTTTTGTTTTGGTCTCAATACGACCATTTCTAGCTGAGCTATCGGACTTTGAATGAAGATGGATCATTTTTTCTTTGTTCATCGATATCTCAGAAATCAATGGTTGCACAGAAAATCGACGGTGGGTTTCAGAAACTTGAATGAATTATCTACAAGGTCCTGGCACGGTTTTTTAGAAAAAAAAAATTTTGTATCCCTAACATGACTGAAAAATCGTAATAAATAGGACTTTTAGGGGTCTTCTAGAAAATCACGTGTCACATTGAGAATATTGGGAAAATGACTAATGTTAAGTGTGCCTTTTACAGGTCATTGTACCCCTAAAAGCCCTATAGAGTTTCAATTCGATCCATCAAGCCGTTTTTTTGTTTCATTCGATTGAATTTTTTAAAAAATTAAAGGATCACGTTTTTTTGCCTTTAAATGCTCATAATCTGTATAAAAATTAAAAAAACATTATTTTCCTGATTTTTTTTTACATTCTTATTGCAGAAAGCGTTTGAAATTATGAAAAAAAAAAAATAAAAATTTTTTATTAACCGATTTTCAGAAATTTCACAAAACCGCCGGCATTAGCGTCACCCAAAGCGTACCATGTGGAGGTTGCACGGTCGGATTTAGGTTTTTTTTACACCGTGCGAAAAGCGTTTGAAGTTATGACAAAAAAAAGAAATTTCAATTTTTCAAAAAAAAAATTTTTTCAAATTTTTTTTTTACTGAAAAAAAGGCGGTTTGAAAAAAACTGTTTTAGTGTTCTGTAAATTCGGAAAAAGCGTTTTATGAATTCGGAAGTATTGCAGCAATAATCTCTGAAAAGGGTGTAGATCGAGGTCAATATTCGGTTAGGGGTATCAACTTTTTTAAATTTAATTAAAATTCGGTCAGCATAATCACCAAATGAAGTAGGGCAATCGTGTCGAAAATGCTTGGGGATTACTGAGATAAATTTTCTGGAGTGATTCCAACAAAAACATTTTTCAAAAAAATTTAAAAATGTTTTTTTGTCATTAGTTCAAATGCTTTTCGCACGTGTGTAAAGGAAGCGTAAATCCGACCGTGCAACCTCCACGTGGTACGCTTTGGGTAACGGTAATGCCGGCGGTTTTGCGAAATTTCTGAAAATCGGATCAAAAAAAAATTTTTCAAATTTCAAACGCTTTCTGCAATAAGAATGTAAAAAAAATCAGGAAAATTTTTTTTTTCATTCTTTTACAGATTATGAGCATTTAAAGGCAAAAAAACGTGATCCTTTAATTTTTAAAAAATCCAATTAAATGAAACAAAAAAAACAATATTCTCAATGTGACACGTGATTTTCTAGAAGACCCCTAAAAGTCTTATTTTTTACGATTTTTCAGTCATGTTAAGGATAAAAAAAAAAAATTCTAAAAAACCGTGCCAGGACCTTGTAGAGAATTCATTCAAG